TCAGACAAGTGATAGGATCATAGCGTATTGAAAAGGATAAATGCTGTAAATTGCGCTAAAGAAAAACAACTGATAAAAATATTTCTAATCACATAGTTTCATAATTGTTAGTCAAGATCTATTACAAACTTATTTACATGAATGATCCAAACTGATTGATAACAATTACACTTCATATAAGCTTTTGTTTTTTTAAAAGTGTTGTTTTTTTTACACTTTCTTATAGGTTTTTTTTTAAATTAGAAATTTCCTATATTTGTAAATGATGTTATTCCAGAGCTATTAGTATAATATTTTATCATTAGACCAATTTGACAATTCTGTAATATCTTTGAATTACATTCCTAATTACAATACATACATAACTAGAGGATGTGTTTATGACTAATTTGATGCTAATGCTTAAAACTTTCTTTCTAACTCTTTTTAAAACTACTGGTATCTTTCAGTCACATGGTCACTCTGATACAGTGCCAAGAGTTGAAGGATCTCCAGACACTAAAGGAGCTTTTGAGGCATTAGCCTCCCTGGAAAGATTACAGACTGAACTCATGTAAGATCATTTCATTGGATAGTGTAAATCATGTGACCCTTTCAAAGTTCAATTTGTTATGCATATGTGTTTTTTCTGCAGTTGATTTCATAATAATAAATGATGAAAAATTGATCAAATTATCATATGTAAAAGAAAGCCATGATATAAAAATAAGTCAAGTATCACAGAGTTACAGACATTTAAACAGAACTTAATGGGGATAATCTATTTCTTAAGTGAAAGATAAAGAGGGATGGGTGGGACATTTAATGTATTTAACTTTTTGGAAACTATAGCAACCTTTTTCTTTAACTTTTGAATTAACCATTGGCTTTATTTATATATAGTATCCTAACCTGGCCCACCTTAGGCATAGTCAAACTAGGCAGCTGCCTAGGGCCTCTGATTGTGAGGACCCTGCACAGGACTCATACATAATTTTTTTAGAGAAGAAATAGCGACTTGTCCTCAATGTTATTATTGGAGGACACTAGATTTATAAATTGCATTATTTAAATTTTTTTCTCTTTAAATTTTTTTTTCTATTTCATTTCTGGTGACCTAATTCACTTTGCCTAAGGCCTGCCCTGATCCTAAAATTATTGACACAATTATATTGTACTCCTAATAATTATCTTTCTAATGAGTGATTGTAAAGGGGGAAGCAATTCAATAGGATAGAGTTTTCCGAATATACTGTTGTCCTAAACAGGTGAAATAAGATTGTTGAACCAAGATCTACAAAGTTGCGACTCTTTTCTGGTCTGACTTACTTTGAATAAACATTAGCACCCTCATTCCTTCTATTTATAAGATATTTATCTTGTCACTAGTGCTACAGAAGAGAGAGCTCAGAATGCAGAGCAGAGAGCATCCCAAGCTGAGGCTGATATTGTGGCACTGCAGGAGAAAGTCAGGAACTTGGAAAAGTTGCTAGGGCAACAGGAAAACAATCATGTAAACAAAATTCTTGATATTGATTAAAGGAAAGAAAAAGCATTGTCCATTTGTAAAATGTCTACTTTCTTGTTTTTTTTTGTGAGTTTTTTTAGTAGGAATTAGAACAATAATAGAATTGAGTTTTAAGTACTCATGTATTGTAGTCATTTTATTCTTATTTTATTGTTAAAAGTAAAAATGAAAATAAATAAATATTGGAATATATTTTTCTGTAATGAACATCATTGCTAGTGATAATGTTTGAACATTTTGTAAATGTAATTTCTTAAAGAATGCTTCTGGATTTAGTGGCAGCCAAATAAATGACTGAATTTTTATTTATATTTTGTGTACTAAAAATGAGACAGGCTATACGTGCTGGAATGAACTTCGCCAAGTGGCATAAGAAATAAAGCTGCATCAGTCAAGAGAAAGAAGAAGAAAGCTGCCCTGTCAGCTAGCCCTAGGACAGTTGAATATAGTTGAACGAACTGTGGCAAACTCTGACGCTCCAGAATTGGTTTGATCAGTCACTCCATATTCAGTTCCATCTCAAGATGAAACCAAAGCCAGTGACTCACCTGGGTGCATCCATTGTCTTCCGAGGCAGAAGGAGCCATATGCTAAGAATGAAGCATATGTGGTTCAAGTGATACCATTTGTTATAGTAGGCCTGAACAGTGACCTGTGGGCAGTTGTCAAGTCACAGGTCTGTATGAGCTGAGGAATAAGGAGACAATAGAACAGACATGGCCGAAAGACTGGGTCATACCATAAACAGAGGTAACAGCAAAGCATCCAACAACACACCCATTAAGTCCAAGGTGAGGCGCCTGAAGAGATGGAACACTTCACCTATGTTGGTTGAATCATAGACAACAATGGAGGATTAGATGCAGATGTCTGAACCCACATTGGTAAAACTTCACCAGCCTTCCACCAGCTGAAGAATACCTGGGAATCAGGGTTAATAAAGCTGCATCAGTCAAGAGAAAGAAGAAGTATTGATATGTGACCCATTGTATATTATGTCGTACCACACTCTAATATCAAATTGTATCATTAGTAAATTTAAATGAAAAAGGGTTGTACCAGGTGGGAGGGGCGATACATGAAATCGCATTTCCCCCATCGGACAAATCAATACTTTTTCTTTTTGTATTATAGTTAAGAAATTACTAAATTTTAAAAATCTGTCACTAATATAATTTATATATACTATAAATTAAATTCTTATATCGAGTCACCCCACCCCTATTCTTTAATGCCAAATGCAATCTTTAGCAGAAATTATTAAAGGAGCGAGGATTAATCCTTTTCACTCTACCGCCCCTTCCCTTTCCAGACAAAGTTTTTGTAATTTTCCCATGAATTTATCATAATTATTTTAAGAAAGACTTTGCATTGGAAAAGTTAGAATTCAAACAAAATTTTTTAGCATAAGTCATGATTGAGATGAGTTCTAAACCCAGATAATCTTTTCTTAGTCGCCTTTTCCCAACCTTTATTCAATCTGATATTTTACTAGTTAAATAAATTTGGGACTATAACTCGCAATTTATGCTTATAAATACTTATACTTATACTTATATAATTTTCTTGAATACTATTTATCGAATAATTTTTTTTTGGCGGCGATCCTCAAAGCAAAAATCTAAGTATGTCGGGTATCCTATCTTTTCAAGTAACAAATCAGTTTTATTTGCAATGTATTATGGGTCTATAAATTCATATTAGAATATTTTTCAAGTACAACATTATTTGAAAGGTCCTTTTTTAATAGTATGAATAATGAGCTTTAGGTCAGGAGAATGCCTTTCTGCAGTGAAGAATGCAAGAAAACGCTTTTGGCATCGGGGCTTTGCCCCGAACTCCATTAATGAATAATGAGCTGTACTTGTCAGGAGAATGCATTTCCGCAATGAAGAATACAAGAAAATGCTTTTGGGGTCGGGGCTTCGCCCCGAACTCCATTGATGAATAATGAGCTGTAGATGTCAGAAGAATACGTTTCTGCGGTGAAAAAAGCAAGAAACGCTTTTGTCATCGGGGCGAAGCCCCGAACCCCACAAGAGAACCTTATAGCGCTGCCCCAGTTGTTTTGTTTTTCGCCGAAGGTTGAGAATGCTTTATATATATATATGTATATATGTGTGTGTGTGTGCTGTACGCACGTTTATGCATAAGGTTAGGGTTTATTTGGCGTTAGGGTTAGGGTTTGGAAAAAAATCGCCCCCCCCCCCACTCCAAAGTTCTGGATCCGCTAGTGGATGCTGGAGATATGTAGGTCACACCCTTCACAAACCTGCATCCAACATTACAAGGCATTTCCTCACCTGGAACCCCCAAGGAAAGAGGAAGAGGGGACAGCTAAGAAATACATGTAGATGCAATTTGGAAGCAGAAGCCAAGCAGATGGGCAAAATGTGGGGACAGTTGGAGAGATTCGCCCAGAACCAAGATGCCTGAAGAAAACTGGTTGGTAGCCCCAGACAGGACCGCAGAATGAGATGAAGTTTCTGATGCAAAAAAAAAAAAAAGACTTGATTAACGTGAAGTGAATTTTTATTTGGGATTTCCTTTGATGGTGCGATGCTGTAAAGGAAAGGTGATTGGAGACTGTATAGATCAGATTACTAAATATGCGTCACTTAACTGCCACAAGAACTTTTCTTTCATTTCAGATATTACATTGGTCAACTACTTTGTCTTAATTAGGATCATTCTACATTAATTACATGATTTTAAAACATTTTTTTTTATTATACACATGATCAAATTCCATTCTTTAATGTCGTTTTTTTTTTCAGTTACAAATTGAATCTTCAAAAGCATCAGATCCTTCACAGCTACCTAGTTCAGCAGAAGTCAAAACTTCTGCCACAACTCCTACATCCCATTCAGGAAAAGAAGAGAAAATTAAGAAATCTGGTAAAGCAAGCAGCAAGGGTTCTAAAAAAAAGTAAAAACAAAAACTCCATATGAATGAACAAAACAATTCTTTTTTTGTAAAACATTTTATTAAAATTGCGACTGTAAATGAGCCTGTAAATGAATTTATAGATGTAAAGCATGATGCAGGGATGGAAATCAGAGCACTCAATTAAAAAAAAAATGTTTTGATTTTCTGACATTTTAAAGAAACAACACCAATATATACACACATACAAAATTTGTGGGGTAAAAAAAAAATCTTGATGAAGCATTGGTTTAAAAAAAAGACTGTACATATAAAAATATTTCTTTTAAAGTAGTAAATTGCATGACTTGTCTGAGGTATAGTTACCATTTGTACATTGAGCAGGAAAGTGAAAGACAATGTAACTTTTTTTGTTGGCACTTTTTACAGTTGGCAATAACTAAATACATGCATGATTTTATGCTTAAATTGTATTTAGACTGTGGATCGCCACGTGAAAGCATCTGGTGGTTGAACTGAGTAATAAATATACAGAATGCACAATCTCATCACCAATGTTTTTGATTGTACATGTCAAATGAAATAATACTGGATAAGTTGCTCATAGTTATTCACTCCATTTGTGACATACAAAATATGAACAAAAAAAAAGATTAGGGAAATCTTTTTATAAGTTTCTTACAGTAATGGTTAAAATACATTATAACAATGGTCCATTTAACAATAAACTTTTAAAAAATGTATTAAATTTACATACATATATATTTACATAACCCAAAGCCAAAAATATTAATGACAGTTTTACAAGTTGCCAAAATAAGAATAGAATGTAGCTATACATGTTTTTTTACACTTTGCATAAACATTGCCAAAAGTTTTTCTTCCAATGTTGTTTTTGTGTTTATGTAATAGACTGTGTACATTCCTTATTAGCATTTTTCAAACTAGTATTTATATGTAGGTCAGTTCATTTTTTTTTTTTTTTTAAAGATTACAATGACTATTATCATATCACAGTCATTAAGTTATCTTTATAAATATATTTGTATTTGATGGTTCACACAACTAATTTAGAAAATGTATAAACAGGTTTACGGTGAACATCTGAGTATTAACGAATAATGGAGGAAAGCAATTTTAAATTAAATTTGGTCATAGCAGTCAAGAAGTTTTCTAACAAAAAAAAAAATGAAATAGATTCTTCACTAAGTTTTCCTTATCAATATGGCGGTGTTCTATACTGTTTTGTGAGCCATCATGTTTCTTACTTTAATAGGCTAGAAACTAAGTTAACAATGTTTGAAAATGTTCTGTAAAAATTTGCATATGTAAAAAAAAACAAAATTTTATCAAAAGAAATCTTGTGACAATGGAATAAAAATCTAACATGTCTAATTATTTAGGGGGTGGTTTCCATTACATATTGTTTATCAATGTGTGGCCCTCTATTTTTTTTTCTGTGATATAACATCATTAAATAGAGCAAAATTGTCTCTTTCTTCATGAAGTTGTGTTTTTATTGCTGCATTAGGGAATAATAGCTTCCAAAATTAAAGAGTAAAAATATACATGCAAATTTAAAAGTTTGTGAAAATATATTTACATTTTTTACAAGTCAAAAGTTTCCCAGTGGTCATCAGTCCTATCAGTTGTCAATGTGAAAGTGTGGCTTGCTTGGTTAAACCACTTGAAAAAATATGGAAAAACTTTAATAAGAACAATCAAAGTTTATACAGGAATGTAAAAGTCAAGTCAGGAATTACTAAGAATCATGTCTAGATTGTCAAAACTATGTATAAAATGTCAAAACTAAGTCAGAAATGCAATGGTAACTTAAGTGTAGAGTTAACAAAAATCTTTATGAAAAAAAAGGTGTGCTATCTTTCAATCTGTTGTTGCCATTCATTTATAGCAGATTACAAAATCTATAAGGCCCTTTCTCTTTCTGTGACCACATACCTAACAAGGACAGCTATCTATGCAATTCTGTCTCATGGTAAATGCCCTTAGGTGGTGCTTGAAATCTGTAAGAATCCTACAAATCCTAATTCCAAAATTGTTAGAATTGAGCAGAAAGTGAGCATTATCTCTACTTAAATGAATGCAGATCAGGGAATCAGACTACTTAAGTGCTATCATTGTATCTGAGAGAAAGATTTCACTATATTGAATAGTGTCTTACAGTTAAGTTTTACTCTTTTACTCATAAAGAAAGATTGCACTATATCAACTCTACAACCAAGTCATTCCATACATTGTCATCAAATTTAAAAACACAAAGAAAGGACAAATTTTAAAAATAATTACTTATGTCCAACAAATAAAAGCAATATTCAATGCAAGATCATGAGGCATAATAATAGGTTAGGTGAATCACTCATTCAAGTCATTTTAAATGAGCAACCACCACTAAGAGTCACAAATCAATGCACACTTCTTTGGCTGGAATGACTTGACATTGGTAAGTTAGAAAGGTAAGAACTTGACAATCCCAATCAAGATACAAACCCAGAACTTACAAGAATAAACTATTTAAGATATACCAGTATGGTCCACCGTTTAAATATGCACCACCATTAAAGTATGCTCTACCACTTACGCATGCTCCAACATTTAAGTATGCACCAACTTTTAAGTATGCACCAACTTTTAAGTATGCTCCACCAGTTAAGAAATATCAGTAAGATCCACCAGTTAAAAAATATCAGCATGGTCCATCAGTCAACAATCAGTATGCTCCACCAGTTAAGAAATATTAGTAAGCTCCGCCATGCACATTTTTCCCCACTTGCCATCAACCTGCCATTACATTCTCATAATCAGAGACATCTGACTGCTTTATAAAGTATATGTATATGTGTATTATCTAGGTGTATTAATTGGATGTGAGACTTTTCAACACTAACTTTGAAAAACTTTCAATTTTCTTAATCATTCTAATAGTTCTTAAGGGCAAGAAGAAAAGCATTTTTCTTTTTGTGGTCACAGTATCAAAAGATTGAATTAGCACAAAGGTTAGTTAAAAATTATTGAAACTATTACTTGTCATTAATATGCTTTAGTTTGGTGCTCTTGAAGCCACCATTTTCACCTTAAAAAAAGAAAAGCTAACCTTGTCTTAAGTGATCATTGAGGCCCTAAAATTAAGATTAAATTAAGTATCCTGTCAAATATCAAGGTCAGCAGTACAAGTGAGTCAAGCACACAAGTCTGTCTAAGGTATTAGTCTTCAGTTATGACAGCCTAGTAGTTTGTCTATAGTTTCTTCTCTTTGTCTTTTGTTTCTTCTATCTATTGGTCTAATAAATAGGATTCATTTACAACATGGCACTAAGAAAGATGAGATTAAATGGCAACAGCTGTGATCACAAGCTAACTAAAACAATAACGAAGTTCTAATTTGATTTAACAATGAAAAATGATTTTTTTAATAGCTTTAAAAACTTTAACAACAGAAAAACAATTATTTGATCATTAGGAAATCAAATGTCTCTTTAAAATAACTTCTAACTTCTTAATGAATATATATATATATGTGTATATTCAATTAATCTATTTGATATCATTGTATCATGATTAAACACTTTTTTAAAATCACTTTTTAATGCATTATATAAAGAAAATGTTGTATGACATTCAAACTTGAGGGCTTAAGCCACCTCATCAAGCCAATTCACTAACCACTGTGCCAGCAAAGTGTTTATGAAAATACAAGGTTTTATAAGTATCTATTGTAAGTTTCAAACTTTTAAGCAACAACCTAATTTTCTGGACAAAGTATAAGGGGGACTAATTCAGCTTATACAACCACATCTGTCATGTATGCTTTTTTCCCTTGTTTGTTACCAAACACAATAATTATATACCATTAGTTAATTAACTTATGGGTTATTTTTTTTTATTGATTCTTGTTTAGTCAGCTACAAGATAATTGTGCAAAATTTCAACTTGATCTGAGATTGGGTGTGGGAGAAATTGTACAATTTTTTACTAGACAGACAGAGTTGAAATAAGCTTTGTAAAAATTACACAGGAGCTCCTATTGGATTGAAATAATTGGATTAATACAATGGACTTGGCCACATGGAACCTTAGTAAATGGGCTTTAGAAGGGTAAACCATCTATATTAGATCTGACAATAGGCATAGACCCATGTCAGCGGTGGTTGGGGAGTGGATAGGTCAAAACAGTTATCACCACATTACAAAGAAGTCACAAATCATCTCTGGATTATAGATATATATACATTCAATACTTAACTATGCCCATTACATAATAATAATAGCTGTGTTTTTAGCTGAATGAAGGTTGATAATGTATTATTCATTATTTGCCAAATGTAAAGTCTTGCTTTCAATCCACAGATATATTCTGGAGCACTAGACATTTTATTTCTAAAGGAATTTTTTTTTATCTTGCATAGCAAATTGTATTGAATCTAGAATATTATATAAAGTTTTCATTTGACACTTGGAAATAAATTACTGATCTTTTACATACATGATTGTTAAATGTAAAACTGCATCTACTCAGTTATAAAATGATATCTACCTACATTTTTGTGATTTGGTCTTTGCTTGCTCTGTGTAACTTTGATTTGCTTCTTGAAAGCTTGAAAATTGTTGAGAAGATGGATGGAGATTTTGACTGCTGCTCGGGTAAGGGAGAGGTGGGGGACGCTGGAGTAGAGGTTATGGTGGGGGATGCTGGAGTAGAGGTTATGGTGGGGGACGCTGGAGTAGAGGTTATGGTGGGGGAGATTTCAGATGATATCAGTGTGCTCGTTGAAGTTCCTGGCGAAATTGATAAAGGCGGGATGGGAATGATGACAGATGCTTGCACGACACTGGACTGTTGATTAGGATTATCAACACAAACAATCCTTCGAAATGACTGTAGAAAAATAAAGAGTAACATTTCAGAAATTATTCATTTCTTGAAGTATTTAAAAAGGAATTGTGTTACTTGTCTTGTAAACAAGTTTTATACAATTAGGCATAGGACAGAAAAATCAGTATGCTTATTAAGTTGAAATTCTTAGTAGAGGACTTTGGGTAGGAAAATTTGAGAAAGTCAATTGATAGCTAAGTAGTAAGGAGTTGGCTTCCAAGTGACTTTAAGAATATCCCTGAATCAACCTAATTCTAAATGGGTCCCTGACATTTGGGAAAGTAAAAGTGGTTTGTCAATGTTCTGTCCATATGACACCCTCATTAACCATTGGCCATAGAAACATCAGCTGCCCATTAGTCTATAGAGCACAAAGTCTGAAAGGGGTACTTAACTTTTTTTTTAATGGGTCCACTAAACTTTTTCTAAAAAATAAATGTAGTCAAGCTGACCACATAACTTTGTCATTTGCCACATGGACCTACTGATCTAAAAAGAAACTATAACTTCTTACAGAAAAGAATTAATTGCTGACCTGTTTTCCATTCGATGTTTTTGTTCTTAAACAAGATTGATCATCCACTGTAGACTAAAATCAGAAACCAATGTTTTTAAATAAGCCTCTACACATTCAAAATCTGTTCAGATACGCATTATATGCAAAACTAATATTGATTTAATTTAACATCTTGATTAATCTACACAGAACAGGTGTGTTTCTTTGGCTTACTCAAACAATGTACCATTTTAGATATATATAGTTTAATTCAAGCACATAGGTCTATGCCTATATTCAGATCTAATATGGATGGTTTACCCTTTTCAAGCCCATTTACTAAGGTTCCATGTGGCTAAGTGTTAGAAAATATGGGAGCTGAATGTTACTTTCCAAACCTGAACAACATATAATCTCAGCATTTCCTGTGTCAAGTCGACAAGATTCTTGACTCTAGCTATAACAACTTCCTCCTCCATACCATGTTATATTACTTGAAATGTTTTATGATACATTAAGAGGGACTTACCTTTACAAGGTCTGATTCCACAACGCTGATTCTGTCATAAATATGGTCTCCGTCTAAAGATGACATAAATGATTAAACAAAATAATA